CCCCCCCCCCAAACACACGAAAAACAACGTTACTACTTCAAGCTCCAAGACGTTTTTAAGCAACGAATACCGAAAAATATGATGTGTGGATAATCAAAATTATAAATATTTAAGAAATACCTGAGTCATCGCCGGGAAAAAACGATTCTTCGTCTTTTTCGTCCAACAATCTCTCTTTTTCTGATGCCACGTTCGCCATCTTGTTTATGGACTAAACCATTGAAACGGCGGGGGTGATCTCATGAGGGTCTTTTGAAGCGACCTTGTTCAGTTGGACAAATAAAAGTACTGTAAAAGGTCTCTACTGGGCCCTTTGTTGGACTAAAAATGTAATAATTGGCGAAAATAGCGGAATGCATTATCAAAATGAGTTGAAGCATAGATTTGAATGCCGTTGTATGAAAATTTGGTTACAACTCAGGCTCAGAGCCACTACTATTTGGAACCCAGGTAAGGCCACAGCAATCAAATTTTATGGATGACATCCACCGAAAACCAAATGACCTGAAAGCCTTGTCTTATCTCCTCTTCATAGTTATCTGCCATCAATGATTCGGCGAGGCTACATACATCGATCTTTGCCCATTTTCAACATGTTTAACGGCTGAGGGCAACACAATTTCTTGCCCCCCCCCCCAAATCAATGCGCGCGCTGATGTCATCCATAAAAATGACTAATTCTTGCTGTAGGGCCAGGAATGCCAGGAATCGAAGCCGTGACCTCTCGATCCCATGTCCGCTGACCTAACAGCTAGGTCCTGACAGGTGGCTTACAAATATGGAAGACTTTATTTTCATAACAAGCCTGTATTCGGGGAACAAAGTAGCAAAATATCACATATGGAGAAAATAAAGTTTATTGTAAGTTTTATATCAACTTTTACAATTCGTTGCAAAGGTCAAATAACATTAGGATGGTTAGTGGCTCGAACTTAGGTCAATGAACGGGTATATAAGCCCGCACGCCTGTTTTGAAAGGTTCATATCATCTAAGAAAAGACTTCGCTAGTACTAGTGCACTAACCGCTATCAGAGGAGGCACACATTTTATCGTATATATCCGACAAGAACCATGGGTAAGAGACGATCTGCTTTCAAGAAGAAGTTTCGTCGGCGAGTTTTAGACGCTGAAGAGCTACAAACCAGCACAATGGTTTTGGCAAAGGTATGAGCTCCTTTTTTTTAAATTTTGAAAAATGAACCTTCTAAAATGGCATTTCGTGCGTTTTTGATAGGATTTCAAAGAAAAAATCAGAGATGAATTTTTATTCAATGACAAAGGGAGCAGTTTTTCTACGATTCCAGTCCATCTTTTCAAGAAAAATCTTGGACCTTTACATAAAAAGTGGACCAAAAAGTGGACCTTTACATAAAAAGTGGACCAAAAAGTGGACCTTTGAGCCTGGGGGGGGGGGGTTCTTCCGAACCCTCCGAAAGGCCATTTCCCGAAGAATACCTCCATGCTTAGGTCTACTACCCAGTCTTGGTTAAAGTATGCTTGTTTTATAAATATTCAGTTTTGTGCATTTAGAAAAAAACTCTTGCTGTATCTTTTTTCAGGCAGAGGTGGCAAGGGATGGCTACAAAATCAGCAAAGCTGACGGAATATGCGAGGTAAGGTAGTTTCTTTCGTAGCACCGTCCCGGCTATAGCAACTATATATCGGCGACAAAAGTTATAGTCTGGTAATCAGGTCGTTTGAAAAGATTCACTGCGAAAGGAAAGGCCTGTAGCAAACTACAGCCGAACATGCATTCGAAAGCCAACATAGAGAATGATTACCAGGCTACCTGATCACCAGGTAGTAGACGTGATCGTAATGTAAGAAAGAATTAGGAGAGTAGAAACAGAAAGACACTCCTTGTCCCGGGCCGGGATCGAACCCACGCCGGACCCAGTTCACAACCCAGACGCTCTAACTATTCGGCTAAAAGGTCTAGACCCACCGGCCGGATCAGTTCGTAGCGCCTATAACCCCGCCACTGTTACAGTAAGTTTGTCAAGTTTTATGTCCAATTGATTTGACTGGTTAGGGTTTGACCTTCGTTCTATTTCCACAAATGTCGATCTCCTCTCCACAGGACAACCCGCCCAGTCAAGGCCCCCGTGCGTGTGTCCCTGTCTACTTCATCCTTCTACTGACGGTGTTCTTACTGAGCGTCTGGTTGTTCTTCTGCCGCGGGCGTCGTCCGAAGCCAGCCGCCCCAAAGAGCGCCTCCTTGCGACGATCCAATGGAACAACCACCAAGAGTTCTAGGAGAATGCCCTCGGTTAGGGGAGCTTCCAAGGCCAAGGATAAGGATCTGCCATCTTTGGAAAATAAAGACTCTAAGAGACAAAAAGTACCAAGCAACGGACGAAGAAAGTTAGGATATTTGAGCAACTGAGACTTGGTCACATTTTATATAGTTATCGAAAGGCACCCCAAGGTGTCTCGTACACGAAAAAAGACAGGAAAACATATGCATTATAGAACCATAGAATATGCATAAAATCAGCGAGAAATTCTCAATAATGAATAAAACAAGAAATTCACACCAATTCTAGATATTTGTCGTCTCTACCCTGAAATATATACAATGTTATAATCTTAAAGTGAAGCTATTGACAAGTAATGGATAAAAATGATGGTAGTGGATGATAAAGATGGATAATGAATACTTTTGCTACGTGAAACATTATGCCTCCATTATGTTTTTAAACAGAATGTTTTTAAACATAATTTTAAACATACATGTAAATTAAAATTTATATGTAGCGTGATCTTTGTAAATAAATCTCTGTTTTTTTTGTAAGTATGTCTCTTCAATCAATCAATCAATCAATCAATCAAAAATGGTTTGTTGCTAAAAATCACGAACATTGCAGCAGAAAGCTGAATTACGTTCAAAGATGTACATTCATTTAAAACGTTAACAACGACACAATCTCGTAGTCCAATTGTCGTAGTAGAATTGCACATTGGAAGATATTTACACGATATGACGTACATTTAGATTAGTGAAATTCAAATTTTGCTCATCTCGTTCACATTTGTACTTAACATATAAAATTACACTAAACTCTCTTGGGATAGATGCAGGGGATCCCTCATGTAAATAGTGTGAAATGTATTATACACATCGCTTTTATGGAAAGTAAAACAACTTCAAGATAAGCAGTTGGTATCTCTTGTAGTGCGCTTCCTGGGAAAACGGATATATTGTGCAAATGATCGATGAACTGAATGAAATGTGTGAGTTTGAGTGCGTGTCAGTGTGTTTTTGTGTCGGCACTTGCATGTACAACATATTGTAGCATAAAAATGTTGTGTAAAGACAATGAAATGTAATAAATTCCCCACTTTTTTTTAGAACACACAAGTGAAGCATGCGGTGGACTCTATTTTTGTCATTTAATTTCTGAAACATTTAATCATTGTCCTAGTCCTGCATAACCAAGAATCCCAGCAAGCTATGGTCAATTTTTATAATGAAATTATAATCCAGTTAATCAAGTCATATTAGAACACTGTATTGTAAAAAAGGCCCATATCTGTCCCCTATCAATGGAACATTCCAGGAACGCCCCTTTCCAACCCCGCCCCTTCCCAAGCCCCGCCCAGCAGGTGAGGTCATACCTGGGGACTTCCGCGTACGCAGTGCAAGTCTCTAGTGGGAGCCGTTACTTTAACCAGGATTTTGACGGTGAAAAGAGTTTTTCCTGCAAAAAAAAGCCACTATCCTTCACTCTTCGCTGTACCGAGAACAACACCGGTCTGGGAAGACTGAACAAGGTGTGTGTATATTGACTACGTGTCGCAATCAATGTACGTCAGAAAAAGCACGGTACTCCGACATTTTACTGTTCAATCTCACAAGCCTGTACTAAACATGGGGAACAGATTTACGGTATTTAATTATAAAACAACTTACGATTGCTGTAAAAGTTGAATTTCTATAATATTTTTTCTGCAAACAACTGCTTGTAGTGGTAAGGTGGTTCTGACAAGTGTGTGTGTGCGAGTGGGTATGTGTGTGTGTGTGGGGGGGGGGGTCTGAGTTACAGAGTCTGACACAGTTGAACAGGTGCATTTCGGATCTACTGATTCAGGACAAAGTAGGAACATGTCTTGACATAACAAGACGCTGCAACTATGACAAAGAATCCTCGACACAAAAAGTCAATTCTGACAGGTGAAACATAACCCTGAACAGGCTGTTCTTAAGCTATGACGTCATGGGTATTTCCAGATAGGAAAATCCCATGATCCCTTGGTAAATCTACTGGTATCAACCGCGTATTAGCCCAGATTTCCACCATAATACTTCATCTATTTAGTTAACCTTCAAAGTACAAGGTAAAATTGTGTTTCAAATGTTTAAGATTTACATTGTACGTGTATAAAAGTTTGTTGTGGATGGTGAATAAATATAAAAATATGGCTCTGGGTGACAAATATGCAAATTGTATCACACCGAAGCAACAAATCCGTAGTGTGTTTTTGGCACACATTTAGACAGGGCCTCACTCCACCGTTAAAGAAAGGAGAGTAGTGTAACGTGCCTTTCCCAAGGGCACAGCGTCAGGCAATGGTGCACCGGTGTCTATCGTACTTGTTCCGAGTCTTAGTCTTACAATATAGCAAATATAGTGATACAAGATCAACTAATTTTTTAAAAATTTAATTCAAACGAGTTGTGAAATCCTACTTTGTGTATATACACTGTTCGTGATCTACAACGAAAGGGCATTATTTCCGTTAGAAGTAAAGTTCAACGTATGTAATACTAACAAACAGTGAGCTACACAAAAGGCCCAGATCTGTCCCCTATCGTTTGTAAATGGAACATTCCGGAAACGCCCCTTCCCAAGCCCCGCCCAACAGATGAGGTCATACCTGGGGACTTCCGCTTTCGTGTAGTCTGTCGCTAGTTGGAACCGTTACCTTTTTACTGAGGGAAAAAGTGTTGTTTTTCGTTACAATAAGGTCGCTATCCTCCACTTCTAGTTGTACTGAGGTCAAAAAACGTCTGTTAGAAGACTGAAACAGGTATGTATATCATGACTAGGTGTCGCAATGTACGCCGGCAGTGAATTTTCAGGTACAACAAAACAACATTGCGACAATTCTGTGCTGAAAGTGGCGTGATATCGTCCATAGTCAATGTGTTGTTAATGTGTTTTATTTGATATTGACGCCGTATTGAAATGTTTTTC